TGGGTAGTTATTTATTAAAAACCTGTATGTAGTTTTATGAGAATGAGGCTCAAGTTAGATTATGTAGGAAAGAAGGTGTGTATTTTTCAATGTAAGTATGTTGTGGATGGGAATGTGGGATGTTACCATTGGGCTTTAACTCTTTCAGGGTCAGTCTCATAGTTCTGTGCCATTAACTCAGCTCACTCAGATAAGCTGTGAACTGTAAATTTGGTCCTAGATATTAGAGAATGGGTCTGTGCAGTAGGTGTATGCCATATAAAAAAATCCTGCAGCAAGCAGTGCATAATGGGGAAAAACTGCGACTTGTTTTTTATTTAAAACAGCGACTTTGCAATGTATTTTGTGATTGTTATGGTTGTATTCTCGGTTTCTTGGTTTTATTTGATAGAAGGAAATTGAGCTCAAAGTAGCGAAAATGTTTGATTTTTGCTGATATTCTAGAGTACACAAATACGCATCCAACTGGCCAGTCTAATATGCATTTCTTAATGCACTGACATTATTTATAGATTTATTCCAATAACGCAGTAGTCTGCATAACAGTAAATCTTCTGTTTTTTGTGTAAATAAAAATTCAAAATGGAAAGCAGGTATAATGTAAGAGAGGCCTGGGGATGTGACTAATGAACAGAGGAAATGTTTTTTAGTGCCAGGAATGTCTGCGTTGTTTATTCTGGACCCTATTTTCAAATTGGTAATTTTTTAATTTTGTGTGAAATTGGCCAAATTACCAATTTCTGATCACTTTATTGGGTAGTTGAAATAGATAAATGGGCAGTTTCTTGTACTAAGTCGATAGAATATGAGGAATACTAGCAAAATAGCTGTGAGTTTGGTTCATTACTTTCAGAAAAACATTCTTCGACCCTGAGAGCAAGTTTGATATCAGGGGTCACAACTCTCAGAGGATGAAAAGTAGTAGTGGCTGGGGTGTTGGGGAGCAGTGGGATGGCTGAGATGTTGGGGAGAAGTGTGGTCCTAATGTAATATATATCATAGGAAGTGGGAGTTGCTTCTTGGAAGAAATGACATATTGCCATGAATATAGTATAAAGACAAAGGTAAATTGTACAAGTTTTTATTGGGTCAATGTTTCACTCTGTGTAGGGAATTATTAAGTCATTGGTAAAGCTTTCACAGAGCAGAATGTTATTCCAGTAATATGTCATTCTTCACTTGTCTGTGTTTTCATGTTTGTCACAGTTGCTCTTTGCTGGTAATGTTGCTTTAGGGAAATTTTGAAGTGAAGTTGCAAAGGTTCGTGGAGTTTTCAAGGTTGTGTAGAAGATGGAAGTTGAAAGTTAACACAGAAAAAAGGAAGGTGCCGAGATTGAATAGAGGGAATATGGGGGAAGTGAAAATATTTAGATATATGGGAGTGAGTGTGTGTTGGCCAATTAGCATATAAAATGTGAGGGGGAACTATAGAATGGAAGAGAGAAAGAATATTGCAAATTAGTTGAAATATTTGTGAAAAGAAAGAAATCGATCACTGGAGGCAAAAAGGAGTATGTAGCACAGTGTAGTAGTGCCAGCATTTTTGTATTGGCATGAAGCATTGTCTTTGATCATTACAGCAATGAAGAGGCTGAAGGCAATGGACATTTCATATTTGAAAGCTATGTATAGTGTGATTATTATGCAGAGAATTAGGAGTGTAGAAATTAGAAGACAGTGTTGTGGTATTAGAGGTATTATTCAGAGAGTGAAGGAGAGGTTGTCGAGATGGTTTGGTCACTGAGAAAAGATGTAACAAAACGGGTTAACCAAGAGGGTGCATATATTCAGGGTGGCTGGAAGGAAAGGTAGAAGACATCCCAGGAAGGCTTGGAAGTAAGGTTTAAGTGGTAGGGGCTTGAGCATTCAACAGACATATGTGAGCATGTTCAATCTGAGTGAATGGAGACAAGTGATTAATGGAATTTAATTGGGTTGTCAGAGTGTGAACAAGTAACATGAAGAGATTCAGGGAAATTGGTTTGCTAGACTCAAGCTGGGAGGAAGTGCAATGCCTGCACTTGGAAGGATATTGCAGTTTAGAGATCATTTAAATTGTGATATCCACAGATTTCTGGCAAGACAGCTACTGAGTGAGTGATGGTAAATGTTTCCTTCATTTACACCCTCCTTTGTTGGGAAACGACCAGTATGATAAAAAAAAGTGTAGCAATTATCAGATACAGTCTCCTGCCTAACATATTTAACCCTTAAACGGTCCAAACAGATCGACGTTCAAATTCGTAGTGCTACAAAAGTAGATCCACTTTTTTTACATATTTTCAAATATAACAAAAAAAAATGTAGATAAAAGTTTTTTACACGTTTTCAAATGTAAAACAAAAAAGAAGATATACATTTTTTTACATACTTTCAGATCTTGAAAAAACGTATACATGTATATATGTTTGGGCCATTTAAGGGTTAACAAGGCCATTACAAGTGAAGAGATAAGTTGTATGATAGCTTGTTTTCTCTTACAATTTTTTGCTTGAAATACCCAAGCTTAACATTGTGGCATTATTTTTCCTGGGTTCCTTGCACACAGAATGACAGCAAAGCTAAATTCTTTCCTGATAATTACAAATTTAGTGAAATGCAGGGGCTCTTTGTTTTGTAATACTTGAATGCTTACTTGAGTTGGGGTCCCTGCTACTTATGATCACTGGCTCTGGTTGCCCAACTCATTTCAAGTACATACCTGCTTTGTGAACCCTTGCAAGAAACACCAGTAAATTTTTGATAGAAAGAGATTTGGTAAAAGATAATTCATATAAGAAAAACTGGATAAGTATAAGAGATATGATACTGGGTGTAATGACAATAGTATGTTGGATAAAAGGTTGATGGGTAGACTTCTGGATGTGCATGCTTATAGAGGGACAACAGAGATATTGTATCATTATTTAGTTTTGTAACTACAGTGATAGTAAGAGATAGATGGGGTAGAAGGAAAATGGCATCAGCAAGTGAGAGAGGTGAAAGTTTAAAAACTAAAGGAGGAGTTAGTTAAGGTAGGGTGAAAGCAACTATTGGTAGAAAGATGGGCTAGTGAGAGTATAGGCAATGAGGCTGAAGAGGTATGGGGTAGATTTAAGAATGCAGTGTTAGTGTGTACAGCAGAAGTTTGTGGATACAGGAGGGTGGGTATGGTAGGTAAGAGGAGCAATGGTGGATTGATGAGGTAAAAGAGTGGTAAGAGTACAAAAGTTAGCATATGAGAGGTTTGCAAAGCAGATGTGATATAAGGAGAGTAAAAGAGAGGTTAAGAGAGTAGTGAAGGAGTGTAAAAGGAGAGTAAAGGAGAGAGAGTAGGTGAGGTTCTGTCAACAAACTTTTGGAAGAATAAGAAGAACTTTTGGAGTGGGATACACAAGTTGAGAAAGCTTAGGGAAAGAATGAATTTGACAGTTAAAAACAGAAGAGGAGAGTTATTTGATGGGGAGTTGGAGGTATTGGGAAGATGGAGGGAATATTTTGAGGAGCTGTTCAATGTTGATGAAGAAAGGGAGGCAGTGATTTCATTCATTGACCAGGAAGATATAACATCTTTTAGGAGTGAAGAAGAGCCAGATATGAGAGTGGTGGAGGTGCCTGAGGCTGTGAGTAAAATTAAAAGGGATAGAGCAACTGGGATTAATGGGATCAAGACATATGTTAAAAGCAGGGGATATAGCTTTAGAGTAGTTGGAGTGGTTGGAGCTGTGCATGGAGGGGACGTGCATAATTCCTTTGTACAAAGGAAAGGGAGACAAATGAGTGTAAAAATTATAGGGAAATGAGCCTGTTGAGTATATAGTAGAGTGTATAGTAGAGTTATTATTGAAAGAATAAATGGTAAAACAGAGAGCAGGATTACAGATGAACAAGGAGGCTTTAGGAAGAGTAGGGGATGTGTAGACCAAGGGTTTACTTCGAGGCATGTAAATGAACAGTATTTAGATAAGGGTGATGAAGTTTTTGTTGTATTCATGGATTTAGAAATGTCCTATGATAGGGTGGATATGAGAACAGTGAGGCAGATGTTGCAAATGTATGAAATAGGTGGTAGGTTGCTGAAAGCAATTAAGAGTTTATGAGGATAGTGAGGCTCATGTTAGGGTATGTAGGAGAGATGGAGGTAATTTTGCAGTAAAAGTAAGCCTTAGAGATGTGTGATGTCACCAAGGTTGTTCAACATAATTAAAGATGGGGTTGTAAAAGAAGTGAATGCTATGATGCTGGGGAGAGGTGTGGGATTAGAATATGCAGACTAATACAATATTGGAGGTATCATGGTTACCTTTTGCCAATGACACTATTCTTTTCGGAGATTGAAGAGAAGTTGCAAAATTTGGTGGATGAATTCGGAAAAGTATGTCAAGAAATTAAAAGTAAATATAGTGTAGTGTAAATATTATGCAGAGAATTCTTAGCCTGGAGATTAAGAGAGGTGTGGGGTTACTAAAAGTATTGTCCAAAGGGCTGAGGAAGGGTTGTTGAGGTGGTTTGGACATTTATAGAGGGTGGAGCCAAATAGGATAGCTTGGCGAGTGTATAAATCTGTGTAAGATGGAAGGCAGGGAATGGTTAGGGGAAATGGGGTAAATTAAGTTGTGTGTGTGTGTGTGAGGGGCTTGGACATTCAGCAGGCATGTGTGAGCATGTTGGATAGGAGTGGCAGCAAATGATTTTTGGAACTTGATGAGCTGTTGGAGTGTGAACTGGATTTGCATCCTGAAGGTGGGAAGTACAGTAACTGCACTCTGAAGGAGGGGTGGGGATGTTTGCGTTTTGAGAGGCATCTGAACTGCAGTATTGGTGTGCCACTGGCAAGACAGTGATAGAGCAACTGTTGGTGAAAGTGTTTCTTCATTTTTTAATTACCCTGCCTTGCAGGTGTGAGATGGCTGGTGTGTTAAAAAAAAAATAAGTATGAAAGCATTAAGAGATATTTTCAAGTTGTTTGTTATTTGCAGGAACGCAAAAGATCGAAATCGTGGAACGAAAGTAAAGGACAGTGGCTATTGTGAACTCTGCAGTACAAACTATACAAATCTACGTCATCACTTGCAGTCAGATTCACACACAGCATTTGTGAAGAACGACAAAAACTACCAGTACCTTGATGAACTTATCAACGGACACAAAACAGGCAGTCAGGTTGGTTATTGTACCTCTGTCTTCCTAGTCATACTTGCTTTCTCTGATGTTTCTTTGTTTTCCTTTATTATTTTTCTTGTGTTAAGGGAGGGGTGAGCCTTTTTCCAGTTTCAGGAAATTAAAATTGAAAAATTATGGAAGAAAAATTTTTCTTACTGAAAAATAGTACAAAGTTCTGGCAACATTTTGATGTAATCTGCTTGTTTCTATCATATTTCTAAGTATGTTTTTCATTAAATGTATTTTTTTTTTGTTGCTGCTGTCAGCAAAAATACATGTTGGCAATTAGTGTTTTTTTTTTCTCCAAAAATTACGATTTTTATGATTGTTTTATTGTAAATACTCTACGTGGCATCTTTTGTGATGGCTAGAGTGTGGCGCGTGGTCAGTGTCTGCCTTAGTAGCCTTCAGGCTGTCAACAAGCATGGAGGGGTGCAACACGCTCAGATTTGGCGTGCGGTAACTGTAGAGTTTCACACCAAACAAAATCAATAATGTTGAAGATTGAGACACTTATGCAACATATGGGAATCTTTACTGAGGAAACGTTTCGCCATACAGTGGCTTCATCAGTTCAATACAAAGCAGAAAGGTGTAAGGAGAGGAGGAGTTTGAGATAATTAGTCCCTCAGCCTGAAGTCGATGTATTCAGTCCATCAATCTTGTAGAATGTACAGCATAGGGCCGTAGACATGGCTTATATACTGTAGTCAGGGGAGGCGAAGCAGGAGGAGGCGGGGTCATAGTGGTACCATCCACTAGTCAAAGTAGGTCTTCGTCCTAAAGTTGGACAATTTTGAAGAATTCTTTGTATCAAGATCCCATGATGATGCAGTGTCTGACAGTTGTGATGATTGGTTTTGAAAACCGACAAGTTGAAGATTGAGACACATATTGCATAAGTGTCTCAATCTTCAACTTGTCGGTTTTCAAAACCATTCATCACAAAATCAATAATAAATCAGAAATAAGTTACTGACACTGTAATCCATCTCCTGCAATAAATATTAATAGGATTATCATGATTTTTGCAGATGTTATTGAGGAATGATGGTTCTACAAACACCCACAATGGATTTGTGATACTGTTTACAGCTTTGTTTTTAATGAATTTTTTTTGTACACAAAAAAATAAAAACAAAATTACTAACTTCAACATTTTTTTTTATGGAATCTACTGACATTATTGCTAAACTGTTCTGGGTCATTATTAATCTAGCCTTTATCTTTCATCTGATGTCAACTAGAGCATTGTACATCTTCCCAATTTAGTAGAAAGTGGAAAGTCCTAGGACCCATAAAATTGTGCAAAAATAATTTTTTTCCTATCTCACTTGAAGGCTAACAGTCAAAACAAACACAGCCTATATGTTTTTTTAAGCTGCTTAATCCACTGTCACAATCCCATTGGAATCTGATAAAAAAAAAAAGGTGGTGATTCTGCTCGCCCCTCCCTTAAATCTTTCAGATCCTCTGTTTTGGCTCTACTTGTAATCTCTTAGCCAGTTATGGCCATGCAGTCTGTCTTTGCAATCATCTATGTGTTTGTATTCTTTTTATACAGCATTGACTTGTTTCCCACCAGAGTAGGGTGAACCAAAGTTAAAAAAAAACTCACCATCACTATTCAAATGATCATTCAAAGTGCCAGAGTGCAGATACTATTTCTCACCTTCACAAGTTAAGTCCTGCTTACCATTTCCCTGATTTTCTAGGTTAATTAAGAGTGTATAAATCTAGAGAGCAAATGAGAGAGTGGGTGAGATGTTATCAACAAATTTTGTTGAAAATAAGAAAAAGTTTTGGAGTGAGATTAACAAGTTAAGAAAGCCTAGAGAACAAATGGATTTGTCAGTTAAAAATAGGAGAGGAGAGTTATTAAATGGAGAGTTAGAGGTATTGGGAAGATGGAGGGAATATTTTGAGGAATTGTTAAATGTTGATGAAGATAGGGAAGCTGTGATTTCGTGTATAGGGCAAGGAGGAATAACATCTTGCAGGAGTGAGGAAGAGCCAGTTGTGAGTGTGGAGGAAGTTCGTGAGGCAGTAGGTAAAATGAAAGGGGGTAAGGCAGCCGGGATTGATGGGATAAAGATAGAAATGTTAAAAGCAGGTGGGGATATAGTTTTGGAGTGGTTGGTGCAATTATTTAATAAATGTATGGAAGAGGGTAAGGTACCTAGGGATTGGCAGAGGCATGCATAGTTCCTTTGTATAAAGGCAAAGGGGATAAAAGAGAGTGCAAAAATTATAGGGGGATAAGTCTGTTGAGTATACCTGGTAAAGTGTATGGTAGAGTTATTATTGAAAGAATTAAGAGTAAGACGGAGAATAGGATAGCAGATGAACAAGGAGGCTTTAGGAAAGGTAGGGGGGTGTGTGGACCAGGTGTTTACAGTGAAACATATAAGTGAGCAGTATTTAGATAAGGCTAAAGAGGTCTTTGTGGCATTTATGGATTTGGAAAAGGCGTATGACAGGGTGGATAGGGGGGGCAATGTGGCAGATGTTGCAGGTGTATGGTGTAGGAGGTAGGTTACTGAAAGCAGTGAAGAGTTTTTACGAGGATAGTGAGGCTCAAGTTAGAGTATGTAGGAAAGAGGGAAATTATTTCCCAGTAAAAGTAGGCCTTAGACAAGGATGTGTGATGTCACCGTGGTTGTTTAATATATTTATAGATGGGGTTGTAAGAGAAGTGAATGCGAGGGTCTTGGCAAGAGGCGTGGAGTTAAAAGATAAAGAATCACACACAAAGTGGGAGTTGTCACAGTTGCTCTTTGCTGATGACACTGTGCTCTTGGGAGATTCTGAAGAGAAGTTGCAGAGATTGGTGGATGAATTTGGTAGGGTGTGCAAAAGAAGAAAATTAAAAGTGAATACAGAAAGAGTAAGGTTATGAGGATAACAAAAAGATTAGGTGATGAAAGATTGGATATCAGATTGGAGGGAGAGAGTATGGAGGAGGTGAATGTATTCAGATATTTGGGAGTGGACGTGTCAGCGGATGGGTCTATGAAAGATGAAGTGAATCATAGAATTGATGAGGGGAAAAGGGTGAGTGGTGCACTTAGGAGTCTGTGGAGACAAAGAACTTTGTCCTTGGAGGCAAAGAGGGGAATGTATGAGAGTATAGTTTTACCAACGCTCTTATATGGGTGTGAAGCATGGGTGATGAATGTTGCAGCGAGGAGAAGGCTGGAGGCAGTGGAGATGTCATGTCTGAGGGCAATGTGTGGTGTGAATATAATGCAGAGAATTCGTAATTTGGAAGTTAGGAGGAGGTGCGGGATTACCAAACTGTTGTCCAGAGAGCTGAGGAGGGTTGTTGAGGTGGTTCGGACATGTAGAGAGAATGGAGCGAAACAGAATGACTTCAAGAGTGTATCAGTCTGTAGTGGAAGGAAGGCGGGGTAGGGGTCAGCCTAGGAAAGGTTGGAGGGAGGGGGTAAAGGAGGTTTTGTGTGCGAGGGGCTTGGACTTCCAGCAGGCATGCGTGAGCGTGTTTGATAGGAGTGAATGGAGACAAATGGTTTTTAATACTTGACGTGCTGTTGGAGTGTGAGCAAAGTAACATTTATGAAGGGGTTCAGGGAAACCGGCAGGCCGGACTTGAGTCCTGGAGATGGGAAGTACAGTGCCTGCACTCTGAAGGAGGGGTGTAAATGTTGCAGTTTAAAAACTGTAGTGTAAAGCACCCTTCTGGCAAGACAGTGATGGAGTGAATGATGGTGAAAGTTTTTCTTTTTCGGGCCACCCTGCCTTGGTGGGAATCGGCCAGTGTGATAATAAAAATAATAATAAAATATAAATCTAGGGTGAATGGAAGGAGTTTTAGGGAATGTCTGAGGAAGAGTTGAAGGGAGGGGGTGAAGGTGGTTTTGAGTAGTAGGGACTTGAGCATCCATGAGGCATATATGTTTGAATGTGTTAGATTGGAGTAAAGGTAGGCAGTTTTTTTTTTGGGTATTTGACATGCTGTTGGAGTGTGAGGAAGTTAACATTTATTTTTTTTTTTTTTTTTTTTTTTTTTTTCAACAAGTCGGCCGTCTCCCACCGAGGCAGGGTGACCCAAAAAAGAAAGAAAATCCCCAAAAAGAAAATACTTTCATCATCATTCAACACTTTCACCACACTCGCACATTATCACTGTTTTTGCAGAGGTGCTCAGAATACAACAGTCTAGAAGCATAAACATATAAAGATACACAACATATCCCTCCAAACTGCCAATATCCCAAACCCCTCCTTTAAAGTGCAGGCATTGTACTTCCCATTTCCAGGACTCAAGTCCGACTATATGAAAATAACCGGTTTCCCTGAATCCCTTCACTAAATATTACCCTGCTCACACTCCAACAGATCGTCAGGTCCCAAGTACCATTCGTCTCCATTCACTCCTATCTAACACGCTCACGCACGCTTGCTGGAAGTCCAAGCCCCTTACCCACAAAACCTCCTTTACCCATAAAAAGGGTCATAAAGCCAAGGGTTTACGTCACAGGTCACATCATTAATGTTTGTGTATTCATGTTGGTATAGTCGGACTTGAGTCCTGGAAATGGGAAGTACAATGCCTGCACTTTAAAGGAGGGGTTTGGGATATTGGCAGTTTGGAGGGATATGTTGTGTATCTTTATATGTATATGCTTCTAAACTGTTGTATTCTGAGCACCTCTGCAAAAACAGTGATAATGTGTGAGTGTGGTGAAAGTGTTGAATGATGATGAAAGTATTTTCTTTTTGGGGATTTTCTTTCTTTTTTTGGGTCACCCTGCCTCGGTGGGAGATGGCCGACTTGTTGAAAAAAAAAAAAAGACAGCAACCACCCAAGGAAGTACTACTGTCCTGCCCAGTGAATGTAAAACGAAAGCCTGTAATTGTTTTACATGATGGGAGGATTTCTGGTGTCTTTTTTTTGTCTCATAAACATGCAAGATATCAGGTATGTCTTGCTACTTCTACTTACACTTAGGTCACACTACACATACATGTACAGTGGT